AGTTAAAGTATGTTACTTTTTCATGCAATTTGCTCTATTAATAGGTACCAAAATGAAAGTTTTGAAAGTATGTTACCCAAAATAGGAATCAAGTTAAAGTACGTTACTTTTTCATGCAATTTGCCCTATCTTAATTATAATTTAGATTTTTTACAATTAAAATAAAATGTTTATCTACAGTTAGTTACATGAATTCAAACATGAAGTTTTAATAAGTTGTACTTACGTACAATTTATTTGTAATCTTGAATTTTAAGTAATATGCATCAATAAACAATATTTCATACATAAAAAATGATTTTTAAGAGTTTTTGTCAAATACTTTATAATATAGTATAAACAATGGGTTCATTTTTTCAGAAGTCCAAATTTTATTTCCAGGTTAAATTGGGAGGGGGTAAAAATTCTTTCATATTTTCATATCTTATCATTTTAATTTTTATTCCGTTATTGGAACCAAGCGCTCCCTAAGTTTTTTTACGATACTATTTCATTGGATTTAAATTTATTTATTTAATAACATAGTCAAATTTAATTAATTACATAAAATAGATAATGTTTTTAATATTTTAATTTTTAATTTTTAATTATAATAGTAATTTTATAATTATTATCGTCTAATTATAAATAATTCATGTTTAACTATTATGATTTTTATTATCATAATTTTTTAATATATAATATGGACCTGTTCATAATTGGAAATAAAATATTTATGAAATACTTAGATAAAAAAAAACTGATATGACAGAAAGAAAAAACTGATGTAGTAAAATCATGAACCTTTGAAAAGGTTCATGGCTTTGAATGTTTTAAGGGTTGATTCGAATAGAATATCTCTAACATGTGTTTTATAATTTATCTAAAATTACGGATCAAAAGTAAAAATCTTTACTAAAAACTATATTTCATTCCAACTGATTCCTCATTTTATAATTTTTTTAATATTAATTATATTATATATTTTTTATCATCCCAATGTAATTATATTAACACAATTTTTTAGTAAATTAACACATACTCCCTTTTGATGCACACTATGATGAGATGCACCGAATTAATTCATGTATCAAATACGATTCATGGATGAGTTTGAGATTAAAGGTGATCAAGGGTCCAGATTCCTTATTATGCTTCTCACTTTAACTCTCATTCTCACACGATACTTCGCCATATTATACATGATATAAAGATTTGCCGCTATAAGTCACGCATTGAAAAATGTTGTGGTCTCGTTGTGGCTCTTAAGACTTGAGACTTGACCTCGTTGCTACGCTTCACTCCATTTAGAACCTTGGTCTACACATATAATGTATTGATATAATTTATATCAATTAGACTGTTACATTTTTATTTTTTATTTCATATTCGTATTGTTAAGGTTTTTTCATGACTAATTATATACCTGCTGTAATACATCGAAATGAAGATTTTGATTTAAATAAAGAACTAAAAAATATGAAAGGTTTATAACAAAACATAGGCTAAAACACAATTCTACGAATAATGTTATAAAAAGTGAATAAAAACCATTTTTTGAGTGTTTTCTTTAGATTTTCGAAAACCGATTAGATAGATTTTTTTGATCAAATCAATTTTTTAAATGAATCTAATGCAAAGAACACTGGTAGAGAATAAATAGTTGATCACTAATATCAGCACAAATCACAAAGATATAATGTTTTGGGCCACATATAATGAAAATTTTACTGCTACAGTTCTTTACCGTGTGAACATCATCTACCGTGATTATAATTTACATATAACTTATCCACAATTAACGCAAGAACCAAAAACTTTTAAGAAGTTTATGAACAGAGTCTCGTGGCTAATATTGTGAGCGGATATTTCAAAATAAGTTATATCGTAAAATATTCTATCATTTTATACTTTAGAGTTAACATGCATCACTTGCAATTTCTTTTCGGAAATTATAGGATTGCATTGGAGTTGACACACTTCCACTCAAATACTTAAGCATTGACATGTTTTCTTTCTGAAACTTGAAAATATTTATTCAACGCTTTACAGAAAACTTGCAATTTACTTCGAAGGGCATACCCATCGAAAAACAACATGACAGTAATTAGCAAAGGCTAACTCTAAAACCGACAACAGAGTTAGAATCCCGATTTCCCAAACTAAATAAACCCACAAACACCACAAGTGCCTAAGCCTAAATCCAGCTTCAAAAGGTAACCAATCTAGCAACCGTCAACAATACGATAGGAGATACAACACATAGTAAGACCATGGTAAGATATCAAAAACCAATTGGGCAACATCACCAAGATAGTCATTCAAGATGAGTGCAAAATAGCAAATTTTGAAATGTTATTATATTAAGTGAAAACTGTATTACATTCAGGTCTTGTTTGTTTTTTTTTATTTACAAAAAAGCTCTTATTAGCCTCTTAGGTAGTGTTTGATATGCAGACCGGATGAGACAGGACAGTACGCCGGTACAGGACGGGACGGGACATGACTAATTGTCTGTCCTATGTTTGGTACGACAAGGACAGGACAGGACAAAACCATTAAAATGACCATATTACCCCTAAATATTGTTCAATGTTATTTTATATCATATAATAATTGTAAAATGAAAACAAATCAATCAAAATATTGTCATTTTAACTTTAGTCCAATGTTGTTCCACCTTTTTTGATGGAACAAGAAATATCAAGATTTGCCTCACTAAAATTAAAAATAGTCTCACCTTGTCCCATGTTTTTTTTTTGTCCATTACATGCCAAACATGAGACTATTTTTTTTGTCCCGTCCTGTCCCATGTAGTCTGCATACAAAACGCACCCTTATATCCGATTCGCTAAGAGGTAAGACCATTTAGACAGTTTCTTTTTTTTCAAATTTTCAGAGACACTTATGTCTTATTGTCTTCTTATCTGCTAAAAGGTAAACCAACCTCTTGTTTGACTCTTATTGTTCTTCAAACCCTCAACAACGACATTTTTCAATTGATTAACCTTAACCGATCATTTCTCTCGATCAATCCTTACCAAATCAATCATCACGTCTCTCAATTGATGTATTTTAATATAATTTAAATGTGTTAAATACGTTAATGACATATATTCATTCAAATGAATGTTAATTATATAATTTAGATGTAAATTTTCGTGATGAAGAATAAATATGAGAAATTGTATAAATTTTATTTATAAATTCCACAATATAATTTTTTAATAGGTAAAATAAACAATTTAAACAAATTCAGACGTTTATCAATTTACAAAAACAAACAGTCTTATTGATTCAGATTTCAGACGTCAGCATCACCTCTTATAAATCATAAATGAAATAAGACTTCAGACTTTAACATCTATTAAAAAATAAACTCCATCTCAATAAAAAACTAAAACAAATTTTATCATATTTTGATGTATCAAATAACATTTTTATAGATGATGGACTTGTTTAGAACATTTTTGGAAAACTTTCAATAAAATTTGAGAAAATTATGAAAAATGAAATCTTTTTTAATAAATAACAATTAAAATTCTCAATTTTAATGATCCAGTCCTTTTAAATAATTAAACTATCAAAGTTCTAAAATTTGATTATCTACATTCAAAAAACTACATATAATAGACCAAGAAGGTTTTACAGTTTCACCCCTCATTCTCTCAACGTCATCCGTTCTCTATCATCGTTTATCGTCATCGTTGTTTCTTGCCATCGATCTCTCTCTTTTTGATATGTTTTTTTTGTATTTACATATTCTTTTCCCAACAATTTAGTGGAGTACGTATAGACATCACAAAATAGCGTAACAGAAGCAAAAAACAAATCCAAAGGAGGGTGATCGATGACAGGGGATAACGATGACGAAGGTACCATGTGAAAGATTTGAATGGTGTACGGTTAGAGAATGGTAAAACTGGATTAAGTCTTTTTTTTTTAATAAATATTTCTAAACAAATTTTTTTTTTTTGGTTAAAAGAATGTATGTAACAAACTTTTAAAATTATGTCGTTTATGTAACCAAATTTTTTTTTCCCACAAACTCAAATTCTGTTATAAAAAATAAAAGAAGTTGAAGGAAAATGAAAAAGAAAGAGAAAAAAGGAAAGAAAAACAATTTGTTTATTTATGTTCTCGAAGGTGAAGGAAAATGAAGAAAATAAAAAGAAAGAAAATAATTTTTTATGTTTTTTGAAGAGAAAATAATATGAAATAAAAGATGTTATTTTTAATAATATATTTTTTAAAATATATTCTTTAATACTAGAAGGGTACTCGTACAATGCATCGAGACACATCTCGATTTCAAAGTTTCGTTTTATTCTTTATCTATGTCGATATAATACGGTTTTATGTGGTTTTGAGAAAACGATAATGTTTTTATTTTTAAATAAAATATAAATTTGAAAATATCATAAAACTTGAAAAAGTTATATATCGATATTAATATCAAATTAATTATTTAAAAGTTATTGTTTTATGTAATTTTTTTATTTAAATTTTTTATTATAATTTAATTTAACGTAACAAAGTAATTTAATTTAGGTTTAATAATATAATTTTTTATAAATTAGATTTTTTGTATTTAAAATGAGATATTTATTTATTTTATTTGATTATGTTTATTTGCAGTTAGTTATACGAATTCAAACATAAAACTTTAATAAGTTGTATTTACGTATAATTTATTTGTAATATTGAATTTTAAGTAATATGCATTAATAAACAGTACTTTATGCTTAAAAAAATTATTTTTAAGAGTTTTTATCAAATGTTTTATAATATAGTATAGATTAAAGAATGAGTAATTTTCTAATTTTAATAATTTTTAAAGTGTTTTAATTTATTTTCCTTCTTTTTTTTCTTTATTAATAATTTAAAATAAAAAAATAATTATTTAACTTTTTTGTAAAGTAGTAGACGAGAAATTTATCAGTTTTTCACTAAAAATTGTGCAATTTCAATCCACATACCGAATAACCTAACGCAAAATCACACAAAAGTCAACTGACCGACGCGCATCTCCTTCCTTCGTCCCCAATCATTCTCCCAATCGACACATCTCTATCTCTATATATCTCTTTCTCTCAATCTATGACGTCCCTCAATTCTCACTCAATCGATCTTCATGAGACATACCCCTATCTCACGTGATTCTCCTCCCTCCTCTTCACATTTCCCAGATCGGTCGTCACGTTTCTTCGCCAATTATCCATTGGTATCCACTCATTCCATTTATATTTATGTATCCAGATCATCACCTTCACGTATGCTAGAATACCCAGATGCAATCAACTTGATTTAGGGCTTTATTACTATGCAATTCGTTTCCTTGTGTTGAGTGGGTCATTGTTTGGTTCGATTATGGAATCCCCAAAAGGACCAAGCCCTAGGCTCAACACAATCTCACTGCACAAAGAAAAGAACGAAACCCCAGATCTTCAAACCTTCGGGCAAGAGTTACCTGACCATGTTACTCGATCAGATCACGTGTTTCAATCCACTAGTGCTTTGGAAATCTTGAGAGAAACAGTCAGGATTTTAAGGTATAATCTAAGTGGATTCATGGCAATTGGAGCTTTGTTAATCTGTCCTGTTTCAGCTGTTTTATTATCAAATGTTTTAGTTGATCAGTCCATTGTTAAAAGACTTGCTATAAGGCTTTTGTTAGTTGCCAAATCAAGTGGGCTTCCTTTGAGGCCTTTTGTTGAACATTCTAGCCAGAAATTCTCAGAAATGGCCATTTCTACCACAATGTGTTTCCCTCTATACATCACATTGTTGTTGATATCAAAAGCTGCCGTTGTGTACTCTGTTGATTGTACTTACTCTCGAAAGAAGTTCGATTCATCAAAGTTTTATGTGATTATTAGAAAGATCTGGAGGCGAATTGTCTCCACATACTTGTTAGCATGCACTGTCATAGTTGGTTGCCTCACTTTATTTCTGGTGCTACTTGCTGCTGTTAGCAGCTTGCTTTCTGTAATCGGGTTCTTCCCGGATTTCATTGCATACACTGCCATTCTAATTGGGTTGTTTTTCTCGGTGTTCTTTGCGAATGCCATTATCATTTGTGATCTTTCTATGGTCATTTCGGTGTTGGAAGATGTCTCAGGATCTGAGGCATTATTGAGGTCTACTGTTCTAATTAGGGGCCAGACTCAAGTTGGTCTTATGATATTTCTTGGTTCAACAATCGGGATGGCACTCGTCGAGGGATTATTTGAGCATCGTGTGAAAACTTTGAGCTATGGAGATGGGTCTTCGAGGATTTGGGAAGGACCACTTTTGGTGCTCATGTATAGTTTCGTGGTGCTTATAGATTTTATGATGAGTACGGTTTTCTACTTCAGTTGCAAGTCTTACAGTTTGGAAAACGGCTCCAGTATAGAGTGTCAATCAGTTTTAGAGGCTTTGACAGCTTCCCCTATAGCTTCAGATGATCCATCGCCTCTTGTTCACTGAAAAAGACAGATCTTTCTTGGAAAAAACTTGGTAAACTGTATGACTAAGTGGATGATACATGAAGGGGTTACCAAAATCTTTAGCTTTATGAACTTGTTTTTCTGAGTTCTGACACAGGAGTACACTTATGGCTGAAGAATGGCGGGCAGCACTCAAAAGCGCGGTAACTTCCAATCTTTGATGAGAACGTATCCCTTTTGGGATTCTTTTTTGTTTCGAATTAGTGTTAGATACATTGTTTCTTGATTGTGGTGGTACATTATTACTTATAGCTGTTTTGAACTTCATGTACAATCTGTTGCAGACTTGAGGCTATAAATTTATAGAAAGAAAGATGTTTTTTTTTCAACTTTTGCCTGAAGAATCTTTGGTATCTGTTTGATATTGTAGTCTAGAGCATGTAGTTGATGATGCTAGAACTTGTAAGAACCTAAAACAGAACAAATGTAGTGTTATTTGGGGGTTATCATCATAAATAACCACATAGGGAAAAAAGGCTTAGGTTTTAGCCATTTCCAAACTTTTTCTTGCAAAATAGCCAAGAAATCGCAAGTCAAAGCCGC